ATTTGACCAAACGCTCCCTATTGTCATGATTGGCCTTCCATGGTATTATTGGCTAAATCGGTGAAAAATTTTAACACTCACTTTTAAAAATTTGATTGTCGTAATTTCACAATTTTTGGATCATTGAAATACTAATTTGTCATTCTATATTTCTCAACAATTTGTATACACACAGAAAAACTTGAACGTAAATTGAGTGGCGAAGCGGTAAACCGAGTCAAGTCGATTTTGACTTTTGGCCAATTTTTGATGAATATCTCGAAATCTAAGAGAGATAGCGAAAATTTTCCCACGACCTTTTTTATAACTCTTAATTGGCTCTACAAAAGAGGTCATTACCAAAATTTCTCTATCTCTTTTAGATTCCGAGATATCCGTCAAAAACTGGTCGATAGTCAAAATCGACTTGACCCAGTTTACCGTTTCGCTACTGAATTAGGGGAGGATGGGGCAAAACGGCCCCCCTTCAATCGTCAATATTTTCCGATTCAATAATCCGATTGGGATGAGTTAGAGCTCGTTTTGAAGAATGAAAAATTATCTTCAAAATGAAGTCGAAACTGAGAATTTTCACAATGTCATTCACAAGTTATTGACAATTGAAGGGGGGCCGTTTTGCCCCACCCTCCCCTACGTTTTGTTAAGCGTAATTTACGCTTTGTAGACGTAATTTACACTTAATGCTAATGTGATGTTTGATGGTATTTTTCTGACATGAAAATTGGTATTTGGAATAAATACGTTACGTTAAAATTACAGAATAAAAACGTAATTTATGAAAAAAAAACATCGTATTTCATTTCCTCGTCAATTATGTGCAAGTACACTTAAGATACTCGAAAAAGAAAATGGTAATTTACGAATACGTAACCGTTAATTACTCAAGTTTTTCTGTGTGTAAGCAAGGCGCTGACGTTACCCCGCATAACTGATGAGCGGCTGTAACTTTTCCCTTCAATGCGAATTGGCTGTACCTTTATAATCATTACCAACACGAAAATAGCATTAATTAAAATTCGACGAATTTATGCTCCGAATTTCAGTCTGAAATTATGAATATCATCGCATTAACCTTTCAATATCTCCCTTCTCCTGCACTCAACGTCCACCTGCACTGCCCCCACCGCAATTTTCAAATATATTGAACCCCAGAACTTCCTAATTTAGAGAGTTCGCGTGAAATATGTATATGAGGTTATTCCACGAAAAAGCATTTTGGTATATCATCGCATATTCCGGACGTGGGATTTCGTGGTTATTCCTAGCGGAATAATTGAATAATTAAATAAGGAATAAAGGCCAAAGCTGAAAGTGCAGGTACATGGTGAGGTGGAATAATCATACGCAAATGTTTCTACGTATGGAGTTGGTTAATATCACCAACGATGTGTATTATGCAAAAGTTTTTCCCTTCCTCTTTCCATTCTTCGAAAATTACCTCCATTCCTGGGCAACTTGAGAGACACCGGGAACTTTTGTAAAACCTCGAGTGCTAGTGAATGTTGAGTGCAGGAGGGGGAATGGGTGGATGGGTCTGCTACTCGACATGGGTATGGTGGTCAAACATTTCCATGGGTGGACTGTGTAATGCAATGTCAGCGCAGACGGGCCATTGCTCAGTAGAAATGGAACTGCAGTTATCAGCCTTACGGTCACTGGTTGCGACATTGGTGAATCGAATTGCCGGAGCTCATTAGTCGACCTTCGGGAGGCACTTGGGGTTAATGCTAATGTGTTATTGTTAGGGTTAATTGCATTTGCCAATGGGAAATTTTGTTCGTTATTTACAGCTCAGTAGCGAAGTGGTAAAACGGGTTACGTCGACTTGAGTTGAGTTTTTGGGGGATAGTTCTAAATCTAAGGGAGATGGCGAAATGTTCGTAATTATATTTGTTGTGGGTCTCAATCGGCTCTACAAAAAAGGTTACAGCAAAAATTTTGCTATCTCCCTTAGATTACGAGATATTCATTAGAAACTGGCCAATGGTCAAAATTAAAGTGTTTTACCACTTCGCTACTGAGTTGATGATAGATTTTTAGGGGAGACTACTGTGAGTTTTAACAGTCGCGGGCTATTGGAGTGAGATTTCTCATCCATAAAAAATCGTTTATGTCTAAAAACGAATAATTAGTGTAAGAAAATTAATTTTTTATTGTTCGTGAGCCCCGCAGACGCTTGCAATATTAAAAAGTGTCCAGGTACTGCAATTTTTGAGCTAGAGATTTTTTTCCAAAAAATTTATCGAATAACAATTATGAGTTAGTTTTTTAAAATTTGACTCTTACACTGTTAATCTCTTTTTTTTCATGTATATAAAAATTTGCACCATTCATGTAAAATAGCCAGAAAAATATTTAAAATATATGAAGTGCGCACGATGTTTTCTGTGTGCAATAATTATTCCGAAGAGTGAAAGTCGGAATGGAAATGTAAGGAAAATTGCTCTTGGTCGCGAATTTTGAAAAATGTCAAGTGAAATTGGACCTCTTCATGTCCGAAAATTTAATTAATTTATAATTTTCCCTACGTTTTTCTCTTCGTGAAAGGATAATTTATATAAAAATATTCTTGACGATTTCCGTAAACTGTGAGAAAGAAATTGTGAGAAACGATATTTCCTGGATAGTTTAGTGGGAATTTTGAGGATATCAGGAGGAATTCAATGAAATTCTAAATTTTTTTCGAGCAGGAAAACGAGAATTTAAAATTCATTTTTTCCCTCAGACCTTCCAATCTGCAATAAAATTACAACTTTGTTTATTGTAATTCTTACACCATTTTTCTCTCCACGTAGGAATAATTCATGAAGAAATTGTCTAAAGGATCCAAGTGCTTTTTGTTAATTGAATTACATGAAAAATATGTGAAAAAAAATCAAGGCTAATTAGTCTCACTGAAATCCCTTTTTGCAATTTTTTAGAAATATCCTCTTCTCATGAATAAAAAGTCCAGGCATCGTAATAATGGATCAGTAATTCTTGGTATCTTTCAATCTCCGTTCATAAATATAATCCTTGGATGAAAATGGAAATGCGACTGGAAAGGAAGATGGAATTGTCAGAAAACCTCGTACAAAGTGCACCAACGACAGAATTTGTGCATTAAATATCTCATTTGATGAGGTAATTACATAAAACTGTCGCAACAATGTTGAATACAGAAAGTTGTCGAGTTTCGCATTAAATTTGGGCTCGGATGTTCCCTTTATGATTTGAACATGCTCCATGAAAAATTGATGAATTCGCATTCGTTGGGTTTTTCCACATATCGGTACTCAGTTGCCTTCGATAAATTCCAAATGAAGGGTTTATGATTGACTCTCAATATTTATTCGTTAATTGATTAACGTTATGTAAACTTGATTATTGATGTATTCCAAAAAGCATGAAAACTCGTAACGACAACTTTGATAACGGTCGCACCAATAAATTTTCTTATCGTCCATATTTCGTTTTGCATCAAATATTGAATGATTGCAGCTCAAGTTGAATAAATGTGCGCTGGCAATATTTATCTCGTAGAATATTGTACACTGAGGAGAAAATGGCAGAAAAAATCTGTGGCCTGGAAATTTCCGTGGCGCGACCGCAGGATTTTTCATCGTAGTCATAATCTTGATAATTTTTGTCTGAAATTTTCGTTTCACTTCGGCATTGAAAATTACAAATTTTATGAGAAATCACCGGAAATTATAAATTTAAGGTCAATTACGGCACTGTTAAAGATTTTCCACTGAAATTTCCGGTAACAGTTGGAGAAATTTCTAACAAGTAACATTTCTACTGAAATTCCAAGGGATGCTGTCATTGGAAATTAATTAATTTCGTGAAGAAATCCGTGGAGCTGTAAATTTTAGGTGATTATTCCGGGGGGATTGATGAAAAATCAGGGACATTCATAGAAATTTCTTCTTAAATTTATCATTCCTCTGAATTTTCAGGGAAAACCTTTAAAAATCCCTGGAATTCCAGGAATTTTAAAGGAATCACCTGGAAATTTGCTAGTGAATATTCATTTTCACTTGAAAATTCATGTAAATTATAGCATTTCCGTCTTCCGGTCGCTAAAAAAATGGAGTTTTACTTGAATTTTCATAAAAATTTGAAATTCCATTGACTCTTTCGCCTTAAATCAAATTCAAGATTTTTTCCGGAAAATTCAGTCAAATTTGTTTGAAAATGTGCACCAAAATTAATGGAAATCAGACAAATTCAGGTAAATGTATTCTTGAATTTTCAATCAAGCAAAAATTCAGCATAATATGGTACTGAATATTCAACCACTGTAACAAGTGTATTTCTGCATTCTCAAATATTTAGTTTCATATTTGGGGCAGCTCTTGAAAACCATTCTCCTTGAAGTGGAAAACTTTCGTGATATTCAGAGTTGCATTATACTGATTGTGGGTGAAAAAAAATAACCTCCACTCACTGCACCGCCAAGAGCACACATTCACATCGAAGCGAACCCAAAATACTTTTAGTACTCGAGAGAATGTTGAATCACACGTGTAGCGTAAAGTGAACTCAATCCTCCAGCAATTTTTGACTTTATAACAATATGTCATTGTAAAATGTTCGGGAACTTGGGATCAAATCGCGCTCAAATGAAAGCCCTGATGTTAGGTATTCTACAAAAGTAGAAAAGCATTTCACTGGAGACAAAAAATAGCCAAAGGTTCATATTCAAATCGGCGAAACATTTAACATGATTTATGCAACACAACTCAACAAGAGTCGCCGAATCCAGCCTCATGCGCGACTGTTTGAGCTGTTGTTGTGTTGTTGTATTCTGATACTTGTTTTTCCATTGAACGTGTAATCATTCTGTCGTAGAACTTCTGTTTGGATTTTTTCTTGCATTTTTTCAGGCATGACAATACTCGTTTGTTCACATACCAATATTATTACGAAGGAAAAAAGCACCAGGCAATCAAGGGTGAGGGAACCTTGTCACCGCCTAAGTCATTTAAGAAATATGTCAACTGCTGCAGATCAACTCAATGTCAAGAAAAGAATTTATTTTCTGACAGAACATTTGGAATTCACATAACGTCATAAAACGTGATGATTGATAATACATGAATAAATATTATTCTCCTCGATTCACTAGATGATGAGCTGATTGATCTCTCGCCAGAGGCTGATTTGGAGGCGCAAGCTGCGCTTTCGTCATCTTCCACAACACATGTGCACTGGCTGCCGACGCTGTAGAAGACTGTTTGGCTAGGAGAGGGATCATTGCAAGTGAAGAGCTGTAAACACAATAGTATGTTTCAGGGCGAGTGCCATGGGGTTTTTTACTCGCGTGGAGTTGGCGTCCGAGCCGAAGGCGAGAGAAAACCCCACGGCACTAATCGAGAACGATATTTTTCGGTAGTGATTTTCACTTTTACGAGTTTAGAGAAGGGCTACTACCAATCCCCGGACGAGGAAAAGTGAAGATTAGTACGGAAAAATAAGTCATCTGATATTCATACTGCACTGCAATCAATGATATTAATGAAATTAATCCATTGAACGGCAAAAGTCTCCAATCAAATTAACTATTAACGAATGTTCACTTGGTCATATTCAACTCTATACCATTCGTTAACAGTTAACGAATTTCGTTTGGAATAAATGAATCAGTCTATCAGTGTGGGTTAGGGAATGAGAGAACGAATTCCTCATCGACATTCCATCAGCCGAGAAAACACTTACGTCCCGAGAGCTGTTGTCCAGCTTATCATCACCAGTATTGCGAGGGTTCTGCCGCGGGCTGGTAATTGTTGAAGTAATTCCAGCAGGGATCACCCATTCTCCTCATGTAAGCGGGTCTCTGCATTGGTGACTCGTATGCGCCAGGGTAGCTGTACCAGGGTGCCTGTCTCCTTCCAGGCATGAGGCTCTGCTGTAGTACTCCGTTGCAGTAGTAGCACAAAGGTTGTTGGAGCCCGAAAGTATTTCCTCTCTGCGCTGCTGCCCTGTTCCACCAGGAGTAGCCCGGGTGTTCTTGGTCGCCAATGAACTGTCTCTGCATTGACGCATCGTTGTAGTACTGCCCGCTCTGTTTCTGGATGCAAATACTATTCCCCTGTGCGTCGATGTAGTAGGGCTGGTGTCCGTTCTGAGGGCCAATGTAATTTCCGCGTGTGTTGTAGTAGGGCTCATTCCCGTTTTGATAGGGAATATAATTTCCTTGCGGGTTGTAGCTGTTGAACGGGTTCTGCCTTTGGCCGAAAAAGCAATTCGCCGGCTGTAGGCGCGGGTTATACCAGGACTGGGCAGCAATGCCTATGGAATTATGCAGTGGGAATCAGCGATTATTCACTTCTATTGAGATCATGTATACAACGATAACTACCGTACACTGTTTGAAAATTACTCGAGAAATTTCAAGTGAAAAAGCTGAAGATTTTTAACAACCACAAATTACAGGAAATTTCTGTCTATTTCTCCATTTATGAATCAGTTAATTTCGTGAATATTCTCGAAGTAATGAAGAAGTGAAGTAATTCTCGATTTTCAGGCCTACACGGCACTGAAAAACCTTGAAAATTTTGAAATTCAAGCAAATTTTCAGACAAATTTTTTGAATTCTCAATCTTTTGAAAATAAAATTGTATGCGATGTTCAATTTTCACGATGAGTTTGGAAATTGAAGCGTTCATTGAAAAATCAATGATTTTTTAACATGAAAAACCCAATTTTTTACTATTTTCAAGATGAATGAGAAATTGAATGAACACTTTCATTTGAAATTGAATTCAACCTCACATTTTTAATAGTGTAATTAAAAATGAGAAAATTAATGAGAAAAATGAGAAAATTAATTAATTATGAGAAAATTAATTGGTGAGTACTAATTTATCAAAAAACATTTCGATGGTCATCATAATGCAGCAATATTTAGACACAAATTGATCAAGTGTTTACCATAGTAAGAAAATTTATTTTTTTGAAAACTAAACGGTAGTGAATCATATCGCCGGCTTCTAGTAACTCAAGGGTATTTGAGATTTCTTTTCAACATAAGCGTGAAAATTATCATTGACTGATATTAGATAATTGTTAGTTGTTGAATAACTCACCCGTGATGATGGCTGCGAGAATGATGGCTTTGGCAATCATGTTGGAGTTAATTGGATGAAGTCTTTGTTTCACACAACTGTTCTGCTCACTGAAGCTCAGAATCGAATGATGATTTGCTCATCGAAGGTCCGTGATTAAATACTCACAGTCTTGGTATTATTGATAGAAAGTGACCAATCAGAGAAATGATGTGGGGGATCAACACATACGGACATATGTGAGAAATTTTACGGATTTTTATTGAATTCTGTTGATATTTGGCCGAACAATGTTATGCACAATGGGAGGTTCGTGCCAAGTTTCCTGAAAAGTTTTTCCGTAAATTCCGGTTGATCGAACTTATAAATAACGAACTACGCAGCTGATATGCAGGCTCGGAGAAATCCGATCACGTATATTGATTATTGATTAATTAGGAAGTAAACGAGGAAAATTACCAGTTCCGCTTGGGATTTGCATGGTTATACAAGGAACTCCGTATTGATTACACTGTTGAAAAAAACTCTAAAATTGCCGCCATTTTAGTGCACGGTGATGCACGAAAATTATATTTCCGGAGATATAAGTTAGATTCGAACGCATTTACAGGAAAAACGAATGTCTGAATTTCATACACCTTTTGTAGACATCTTAATTCACGTTTGAAATTCAGACGAATTTTCATTTTATTCAGACGTTTTTTAGTGTCTGAAAAATGTCTACAAAAGATGTGTGAAATTCAATCATTAGTTTTTGCTGTGTTTGTTGTAATATTATAGTTAGATGATCAATTTTCGTGCAGTAGTACACTGAGAAAATAAAAGTTTTTTGAGCAGTACGTCTTTACTTGTATCAAAAAGTTCATGGCTCGAGACAAGAAGAGAATATCTCACACTGAGAACAAAAATCTTTTATCCAGAAATTTTGTAGTCGTCCGAAAGATGAGGGGCAATTTGTTTAGAACAGCCCGAGTCGAGGATTTGGTTCTGATTGGACGTACACAGGTCTTTCAAGATCTCTCCAGACCTAGATGGACCTGGTAAGTCCTAATCAGTTCTGCGACGTACTTTGCCAGAGACCTTTTGAATCCTCACNACAGGTCTTTCAAGATCTCTCCAGACCTAGATGGACCTGGTAAGTCCTAATCAGTTCTGCGACGTACTTTGCCAGAGACCTTTCGAATCCTCACTTCTTTTCGGTCCTGAGAAGTCCTCCTCGATGCTACCGAGAACGCGTGATTTTACGAGCGGGTGAAGGGGAAGGCATGGATGCGGAGGGTTGAAATTTGTAGCCAACGAGGAGACAGGGTTGCAGAATATATTTTAGGCACCCTCATCTCCCCGTTTGCAGGCGGTGTTTAAATAAAATCAGTGAACGTTGATTCTGTATTTATTGACCCCTTGATGCCAATGAAACCCTCGGAGATGACAGAAAAGGGGAAAACAAATTTTCCATTTTCACGTGGGTCAAGGGTGAAAATCGATTTTCGCCAAAATTGAATTTTTTCGCCAAGTGAAAGTTGATTCTG